GCTTCCGAGAATAAAAGCCAGGAAACGCAAGGGGCTCTCAAACGCTGGTGAGAAGATCCTCTCCTCCTTCCACGGCTTTTCCCAGACGCTTGCAAGCTTGTTTGTAGCGACTTGGCTGCTGTCTTGGTGATGCTGGGTGCAACACGGACGGCCCCCCGTCCCTCCTACTCCCCGGGCCAGATCTGAAGCCAGCTGCTGTGACTCACAGGACTTCTCCCACTCAGGTCACCAGGCCCTTCTTCCTGCTCCTTCTTAGCCCAGCCCTGTGGGAACCTGTTCAGTATCCGGCCATGTGCAAGCCTCCACCTGAGGCCAACGGAGGGTGGCTGGTGGCACACTGGGCAGCATCAGCCAGGAAGTTTCAGCAGCTCTCCTTCTGGGCTTGTGCACTTAGGGTGAAGGCTACCACCAGACCAAATGGCAGAGGCTCATGAGCCTTGTAAACATGATCTCAATTTAAAATGTCAGAAAAGTTGGGTCCAAGAGACCCAGGAAGGACACCACACCAGGCGCCTAGCTTATCGCCGGCCTCGCTCTCCAACCCTGCTCGTGGACACACAGCAAGGGGGCCTACTGCCCCACTGCTCTGTGTGTGGACGACACATGCCAGGCAGCCATGAAGGCCACTGAACACTGGCTGCAACGGTGACAGTGATGTACCAAGTTGGTAGGGCCACGATTCTCCGTTGGGCAGTTACACAATGAGGCAACTTGGCAGCCACACCATGATGTCATGTGGCAGTAACACAATGATGCAACTCGGCAGTCATATTGTGATGTCATGTGGCAGTTATGCCATGATGCAACTCGGCAGTCATGTATGGGTGTCGTCATCTTCCGGTTTTTCCCGTCACGCCTACTTCCCATCAGGACCTGGTCTCTGGAAGGTAACGATGTCGATCAGTGGGGGCTGGGGAGCCTCACAATGCTGGTGGTGGTTTCTGAGGGGTCAGGTGGCAGATGATTAGTTTTCCAAGTTTCTATAATGAGTAGGGATGTGTTTTCGATCACAAAACAAGAAGTTTAAATGTACAAATGTCCCCAAATAGGAAGCTTTTGTTGTTGTTTAAGATGAAAAGTAGTTAATGAAGGGTCAGTGTGCATAGGCTGGCCTCCAGATAAGGCAGGACTTGGGCCCCACGCTGCTAGCCCTGGGAGCCCTCCTTGGGTGAGCTCTGCACAGCCTGCTGGGCCCGGAGGGTCCTGGTGAGAAGGAAGCAGTGAAGCAAGCTCACTCCACTGAGAGCCCACCAATGACTCCACCCCGTGAATCCTTAAACCCAACAACAGCTCAGCTAACTAGTAACGGCGTCAGGGGCTCTGGTGGTCCAGGGGAAACACATTGGGCTGCTGACCACAAGGCCAGCAGTTTGAACCCACCAGCTGCTCTGCAAGAGAAAGGTGAGGCTTTCTGATCCCCTAAAGATGGGCAGCCTGGGAAACCCGCAGCAGCTGCAACCTGTCCCTCGGGTCACTATGAGGCACAATCGGTCGATGGCAGTGAGGTGAGAGTGCTTTTTGGGTGGGCCTGCTCACCACCATGCGGTGGCTGATTAGAAATCAGCAGCAGCTCCTAGGGAGAAAGACTAGGCTGTCCGCTCCTGTCAATCAGTCCCAGAAACCCACGGGAGCACTTGTCCACTCTGTCCTGCGCGGCAGCTACCAGTCGGAATCACTAGGTGGCAGTGTCAGTAACGAAAGGCAGCCTTGAGCACGGTGCTCTTTGAAGATCTATCTACCAGGGACCAAGGGTCCAGTGGTGAGCGGTTCAAGCACCGGGCCAGCCACCAACTGGCCACAGGGAGAAAGATGAAGCAGCCTGCTTGTGTTAAGGTGTAGTCTCGCAAACCCCATGGTGACAAGTTCTACTCGGTTCTACAGGTAGTTGTGAGCCAGGCCCGATGCCAGAAAGATGGGGGGGTCTGTTTTTGGGGGTCTGCGCTGCCTTGCAGCCCACCGGCCCCCTGCCCAGTGGGATGTGCCTATTCTGGCCTCGGATCAGGTTTGGGGGTTACCCACTGCGCACGGGGTGGGCTGCACCTACAGAGGCTTCCTCCCGGGCGCTGAACCCCGACCTTCCAGGGAAGGAGGCCCGGCCGCCCAGTGGTTAGGCACTAACACTCCCCGCGGTTCCAGGGAAACTCGAAACTCAAGCCACACTCACTGTCAGCGGGTCGATGCCGACCCGGGCGACCCTAGAGGGCAGGCTGGAGCTACCTGCGGGGGCGCGGGGGGCTCCCCAGACGGAGAGCCCTCGCCGTCCCCCAGAAGCGGCTGGGGGTTTCCCGGGGAAAGGTCTGGACGTGTCTTCCCGCCAGTCACTATCTCGGGCGGGGGCCCTCGGGGGCGGTTCCGCTCCGTCCTGCGGGGCCGCCGGGAGCTGACCGCCGGACAGGACGTCCTTACAGAGAGCTGACCGCCGGGCGCTGCTTCCGCAGAGCCGCCGGGGTCGCCCGGAGCACGAGGAGTAAATGGGCTCCTACCCGGTGGACGACGCCGGGCTCCCGGCTTCAGGGAGTTTCTGGGCGCCCCCGGGCCGAGCAGCGCCCCGAGAGTCCGTGAGCGGCGGGGTGGGCGCGCTCCCTCCGGGGCTCCGC